CCGCACTTCTCACAACAGGTTAAGAAATCTCCCCTGTATCTATATACTTCTTTTCTTTCTTATAATTTTTGGCACCACACCAATTATATTTGACCCAAACATGTTAAGTTGCTCTGTGGTGTGGCGTGGTACTAGCATATCACAGAGTCAGCCGCCAGAAATAGTGTGTTTTGGATAGCAATTTGTTTATGAAATTTCATATTGACCCCAAAAAAAAACGAGCGGAATTAGATTCCAGTGTTACAAACTGTGTATCAGTTCAGAATACGGTTTTCTGGGATGTGGTCATGTAGTCAGATGGAATGGAATCTGCTGGCTTCTGAAGATGGATATATTATGATTCTCCAGAATGTTGGTTGGCTGCATACCAAACTAGATGGCATCACATCCCAGAATACCAGCCTTAACAACAGAATTTAATGAACTTGATGCTGAGTATGTGGAGCAAAAAATGTATTTTCTGTGACCAATGTAGCAGGAAACAGATTCTATCAAAAATATGAAATAGATGGCATGCTTGGTCACTTTCAAGTATGAATCTTCCTTCACAGAAATATTCTGAGAGTTTATAGATCTGAACGAGTCTTCTTATCTTCAAAATATGTTCCTATTTGCTCATTAAAGGGCCCAGTGAGCTTTCAGAAGCTCAAATTCTGTTGAAAGACATGCTTCATTTTATGGGCAGTTTGGTTGTGTTTCTAGAGGCATCACCTCTTGTTCATTCATCCTTATCCATTGTATTGTTAATGTACTGAAATATTAGAGTAGAACTTTTGAATCGGGAACTGTTACATAACAAAGTCTCCGATAAAATGAAGAGAGTTATAGAATGAATTTATAGCCTCCATCCTTGACCTAAGGACGTCCTGAATGGTTACTGAGTTTTATTGTGTTTTTGGTGGTGGTCTAACTGATATCCATATGGTTCTGCTTTACATTGACGCAGAACTGAGTGGAACACACATGAGAACTCTGTGGTTGTTTGCGCTACCATTGCAGTTAATAGTTCACATAAAGTGCTTTTTCATTATGAAATGTTTCGTTTTGTGACAACAGTCTACATGTGCGTGTGAAAATTAATGTTTGCATCCTAAAATTGAAGACCTTACAGTGACTTATGTGAAAATGTGGAATGCAGCAAACGTGCATTTTGGGTCCTATGCAATTATGAAAATTAAGGATATATGAGGAAGTAATTAATCATGAAAAACTGGTCATACTCACCACTTACATAAGGTATTGTCAGCTACAGCTCTAGTGTGTCATATGGAAAAGTGTACAAATCAAAATGGACTCTTTCCTAAGTATGTGCATTTTGTTAACTTAGAACATTAGTTCAGACACTTCCTTTCATATTAACACCTTGATTACCAGGTGTGCTGTTGTAGCTCACCCTCTAAGGCAGACATGTCCAACTTCAGACAGGTTGTGATCGACTTTTTAGTGTCAAAACTGCCAGCGATCTACCACCCCTTTCAATCGTCAAACCTCGATTTAAGCAAAAATATTGGTAAAAATAACACAACACATGTTGTTTGTTGTAAAAGCAACATACATTGAAAGTACAGACTTACCTTGTTTGTTATGAACAGAAAAATAGGAATGACTAATACATATTTTCCCTTCAAAATCTGAATATAATCATTATATTACAAGTGAATTTACATGCTCTTCACATATAATTTCCTTATAGGCCTATGAGATCGACCAAAAATCGTTCCGCGATTGACACATTGGACATGCCTGCTCTAGAGGACTGGGCACATTCACTTCAAAGGCACTTAATTCAATTAAAACAACTCTTAACAGGACATAGAAAGGATAAAAATGTACCTTACACATCCACTAATGTCCTGCTCCAACCTGTGTTGCTATGCAGTTGTTATGGAGAAAGAAGCCAAGGAAAAGTTGCATGCGTGGAACCATTAATTAATCTAGGCAATTGCCTAAGTTGTGTATGGAACAACAGTGAGTGTCATAGACTGGAACAAATTTCAGTTTGATCAGTTTATTAACTTATTCTTATGCATTTCTTTGATCTTATTCCTTTTTTCAAGCTCTCCATCTTCTGTTTTGGGTCTCTTCATCTTGTTCCTCATCTCCTATTCTGTCTCCTGCTTGTCCTCAGCCTTCTTAATTAGACCAGAACTGTGACATGTTCTGCATTCCCATCACTTTCTTAGAATTGACTGTGGCTGAACTATAGTCCCAAATTTTTGGTAACCTTGCAACTTATAGCAGCGTTGTTAAATGGCACTGTTACTGCACCTTTCTAAACAATATTCTGCAGTTTCTCACAGTAAATTTTGAGTTGTTCCTATGCTTTAAGCATCATGCCTTGAAGACATATGGTGGGGTGGAGATACACTTTCATGCATTCTTAACTTTAACATTAAGTGGTGGTGAGTGGTCAGTTTCACACATGAGGCCACTTTATTTCCAGAGAAAGAGATCCACGGTATCCATTATATAGGAGGCTTGGAAGGCCTTGCAATGGCCAGAGAAGGATCCTTCATGTGTCTATGTAAGAGCAAGCAGCCTTGTTCACTTGCTTTATGTGTGTTCCCATTTTCTCAAGACATTGTGCTGATGGTCCTCTTGAGATTGAAAATAACTCAGCAAATTGTGCTTTAAAATAATGGTTTTAAGATCTTAAGGAATGTGTGATAGGTAGGATGAACCTTTTTCCTCCATCTTCAGGATAGAAGTAGTGAGCCAGGCAGAGAAGGTTTGTATTTAATATTTGGAAGGAAATTCTTCCCCAATTTCTGCTCTGAAGATACAGGCAACACATTCTTCTGAAATGTTGGTATCTATTCACCATGCTACATGGCAGCACATCCCAGAAGACCACAAGTGTCAGAGCCTCAGATCTTAAAATGTAACATGGTTTTACCATTGCCCAGTTGTGGAAACGATTGACAGCTGTACAGTTTAGAACTGGTGCTTATGTTGAAGTAATTTGAGGAAATAGTGACAGTGCCTGCCATGTTCCTGATATATCACTTTCCTCAAATGTTCCCTAATTTTCATTTTGCTGAATAATTTATGCATGTATACACTGTGAGAGGGAATATGTATGTCACAGAACCAGAATTTTATTATTTAGAAAAACATTCTTGTTTATTTAGTAAGTAAGAATGCAGTTATCTGATGTTATGATTTTCTATTCAGAGTCTGACACTTGTTAGAGAATGATTTTATGTGTATATGTATGAGGATAAAGTTGCTTTTATTAAATAGAATATGGTTTTTTAACTGAGTAGAGTATTATTGTGCTTGGATTTTCTTGCCTCATACCTAACATGCAACTTAGTCACTTCACATAGGTGTAAGGCAGCTTGAAGAGACTGGACAGAAACCAGTGTCATAGATCAGGATAGTGAAAATTAAATTTCATTTTCCACCATGAAGATTCTGGTGGGAATCTCATTTTCAGACTTCAGTGCATGTAGTTGAGAGGAATCCTATGAAAAGGAACAACTCTCAGGGCAGGAGAGAAGCTTGTAGTTTTTTTTTTTTTTTTATTCGCTTAGTGGTGAGTGGAGTCCAACTGGGTCCACTCAGCGTGGTGGCCATTGATTGGCCTATTTCACCTGCCCCAGGTGATTATGATGATGGAGAATTTTGTGGAATGAAGATTGGCAGGGAAACCAAAGTACTCGGAGAGTAGCTTAGAATGTTTGTTGTAAAGCTCGAGAAATTGTTGCTTACAGTAAATGATATATTATAAAGTTAAAATGAAATTTATAGGTTAAACGTGTTTTGAATGAGAATATGCCTAACGAATTAACATTGAACTTTATATTTAGGTGCATGTAAACCATGGTAGATATAAAATACAGCCCAAGCTTGTACTGTTAGTTCCTTGGAACTCTAGCCATGGTAGAGGGATCATACCATCTCTTGCGGAGCTGGGGGGCAGTCTTATCAGCTTACGTCAGCGTGGGTACTACCAGTTTGGAATGTAGCATCTTGGAGTGTGGTAAGGTATATAGTACTACTCCTGGTCTCTGTAGGCAATGTTTTCTGTTTGGGTAGTAGCTCTGAATGTCACCACAGCAAGCCTATAGCTTTGCAGGCTCCACAACAGCTTTTATCTTTCCGCACGGCTAAAGTTACGAGGCACTAGCTATAATTATTCTGACATGTCTTTTCTTGCAGAACATGCACATTTAATAACATCATAGGATGTGGAATACATAACAGCATGATAAGTTAATTTACCATGAACATACTTGTGGCCGGGTGTGTGCTTTGTATCACCTCCCTGGTGACCAGCTGCCTAAAGTATCTTTACCCCTGAAAGCACATGATTTAATTCTGAAAACATTCACAGTATGGGTATATAGAAAGATTAAAATATAGTTTACACATCTACAAACATTCTGCTCCAAGAAAAATGACTATGTGGTTCTTAAAAACAAAGGAAACTAAAGAGAAGTCACATGTATTAAAGCTTAAATTAACATACCCTATCTTCAATGTGTTAATTCAAAAAGCGTATTCTAAGTGTGAACATGTGTCTAAATTTGTAAATCAGGAAGTGTTTTGTACTTGTATGATATCATTCGCTTATTCTGTGATGGAGAGCTTGCAACAGTGTAATTTTTGTCTTGCAGGTCCACTATTCATAACTTTCTGTCATCACCTGTGTGCTGCTTGATATACCTGTACGTAGTATATACTATGAGACTTGTGACAGTGGAAAAAATTAGTCTTGCGATTTTGACAGATTTACACATTTTGATCCCCCATGAATATGATAAAATTATCAGACCATATACATAATGGCAAAAGTTCTATATATTATTATACAAAAGAGTATTTCTAATGTTTGCACAATTTAATTTGTAGCTGGTAGATGTGAGACTGGGTACAGAATAGATGAGCAATGACTGTATAAGAGCTTTCAAGTGACAAATGTAGATCCTATGTAGATGAAGGCAAGTATAACAATGGTGTCACATTTGGAAACTTGCGACCAGAATGTTTGATGCCCCTGCAGTCTTATACATGATGGTGTTTTCAGCACCTGAGCTGTGTAGTTTAGAACATCAGAGCACGTCACCAGATGTTTGCTGGAAGGGATGGTAGCATGCTGTGTATAGTACATTACAAGAGATTAAGAATAGACCTAGAATAAAGTGTATTTTAAAGATGAGTTTGTCCATGTGATATTGGTTGACAGTGGAGCTGGGATAGCTGTAATTAATAAGGCTGTTGGGCAGAAGACCAAGAAACTGCAGATTCCTAGCATGGCCAGGTGATGTTTTACTCTCCTGCACAAATTGAATATCAGCTGTGAAGTTCACCCAATAGCATAACCACAGGGAACTAGGGACTCTTCCCCTTGGGGTAAAGAAGCTAGGGTGTGAAGCTGACCAGTCACCTGTCTCTAGTGCCGAGTCATACCTCCACTCCCCTATATGCATTAAAGATACTGTGCTCAGATAAACACAAACAGAACCTTTTTTTATGTGTCTTCGTAGAAGGCAGGCATAGGACATGGTAAACTGAAGCTTCGCGCGTTCTGCATTTGCCCTTTATTTTTAATAGTATTCACACATTCTTAACAAGGCCCCCTTTCTGACACGGAGGAGCTCATCCCTTTATTACTGATGATACAGACCCCCAATGGCCTGGGGTTATTTGTGTTGAATATCATATGGCAGGCAGTCAACGATGATAAGGCATTGTATGATAATTTTCAATCGCAGTTTATTCCGAAAGCATTACTGAATCCTTTTGTTTCACAAAGGATACCCATTCCTTGAGCATTTAAAATAATATTTATTCTCGCCACAGTGATAGTTATTGGTATATTACTGGGCTAAAGATCCAAGTAATCTAAGCGATCCGTAGCTGTAGGTAGGAAGGTTATGAAGTTTTTTTTTTTGTGTTGGGGGGGGGGGGGGGAGTCCAACTGGGTCCACACGGCACGGCGGCCATTGATTGGCCTATTGTAGCCTGTCCCGGGTTATTATGATGATGGAGAATTTTGTGGAATGAAGATATGCAGGGGAAACCCGCCCCAGCGCTAGTTTGTCCACCATAAATTCCACTTGACCAGATCCGGGATCGAACCCGGGCCAAGCCAGCAACTAACCGCTTGAGCTATGGCGCCGCCATGGTATGAAGTTTTAAAGCACGGATGGCACGGATTACGTAGTTGTAAACGAAGAGAGTTGGTATTCTTTGAGGGAATAACAATACTGGAACGAAAAGTGTTGTAGTAAATTATATACTGCGGATCCGTGACTTAAACTTTAGAGAAACGTTTTCGGCGTGATTGATTTGTATTTGGGAACTAAATAGCTGTTATAGCGTAGAATGTTTGTTGTAAAGCTCGAGAAATTGTTGCTTACAGCAGATGATATATTATAAAGTTAAAATGAAATTTATAGGTTAAACGTGTTTCGAATGAGAATATGCCTAACGAATTAACATTGAACTTTATATTTAGGCGCATGTAAACCGTGGTAGGTATAAAATACTGTGTTGTCTATCAAGGTTGCACCGTTTTTAGTAATAAATAAGGAATTTCTTCAAATTTATGACCAGCCCCTAGGAAAACAAGTAGAATCACATAATAACAGCAACCTGACAATAAAATGATATCAGTGATATGATAAGTCGCCTGTAAAAGAATTGACAACTGTGAGACTAACTGTTGTGGTAATTTGTGTTTTATTTCTGCCCTAGTGTGTATTATTTGGAAGACTTAACAGTATTTTCAGCACTTGTCTTATTATGTAATGGTATTGTTCTGATAATTGATTAACGTATTGAATCTTTTCAGGTACAAATGACATAGGATCAAGACAGTGATGCCAGTAGCAGACCCACAAACGGCATGGATGTCATCAAAGAGGAACACGAATGTGATGACAAGCTCTACTCTGAGTGTACTATAAAGAATGAAGAATGTGTGGTACCAAATATATTTCCTGTGGTGAGGACCGGAGCCAAGGTAAATAACATGCATTATGCTTTTTAATGGGGGAAAAATATCTCCTTACATTACATATCACACCTCCAGTTTTGCTACTACAAATGTCTGTTATACAGGAGTACAGCATTGCTTAGTGAAAGTGACATATTACCATTATCTCCATATGCACTGCTTTAGGAAATTAAGGCGTGAAGTTTCATACATTGCCTGCCATGTCACATTTAAGGATTGTTTTCTTTTTTAATCTCATACTGCTTCTTGTTTAGCTTTGTTTTGATGTAACTAATTTTGCTTAATGATAGTATCAAATACAGTAGAGTCCTGATTATCTGGGGTGGACAGGAAATAGATTTCCCCATGTGATTGGAAACTCCAGATAATCAGTAAAAGGAATATGTAAGTAACTTGTAGGATGGGATGTATGAAACAGTACCTACATTTAGAAGTTTATTCTGCTCGAACATTATGTTTTCATCTAGTATTTAAGTCTTGTTGTAGTCACATTTTATTATGTTTAGTGACTGTGTTGTCTATGTTTTATATAATGTTATTTTGACTTGTTCCAGTGATTGGTTGGAACATTTATTTTGATTTTTGACACATTCTATATCAGATGGTGTGTGAACTTGTTTCTCGCCATGTAATTGGATCTACTTTAATATAAGAATAAATTAAATTTAAAAAAAATGTAGAAACATGAATGTGGTTTCTGAGGTGC